GACGCAGGGGGGGGGAGGGGAGCAGAGAGGCGAAAACGAAACGGTAAAAAGAGAGGGGGCCCCCACGCCCCCCCCCCCCCCCCCCATTGGAAGAAAGGAGGCTAAGGATAGAAATAATTACAAATACAAAACAGGAAGAGTAGTGCAAGTAAAGACAGCAGCATATAGCAGCATAACTAAAGGAACCCCAAGCCAACCCCAACTATAGTAGGATTTATCAAAAAGAAAAGAAGACTTAAGTCTAGTCTTAAAAGTAGACAAGGTGTCAGCCTCAAAATGACAACAAACTACTACCAACTGAAAAAGTAGAAACACGACTAAAAACCGGAAGTGTTGCCTTGTATTTGCTGATGGTGAACCTGGTCCTCTGACGGACTCGCTCGGTGGGCTGCAGTGGATGTCCGTGGGAGTCCGCGGGTTTTACCAGCATAAATTCAGAGCCACACGGTGCCAGCTGGAACTGTGTTCCGTTTCTGTACCGAACCTCCACCGACTCGTCCTCGTACATAACCATTAAACTGACACCGTCCCCAGTTTCCATTGCAAGACCAAAGTTTTAGCTCAAAACACGGTGACAGAAAACAAAGACTGTTTGACATTAGCGCGTCCGGAGTGGGAGGAGTCACAGGACCGGAAGCAACTTTTTTCCCTTTCGAACTTTATTGACAACTATTAATCCTACAAGAGAAGGGGTACATATAAAGGCCCATAATATTATGGATATTAAAAGTCTCCAGAGCTTTTTGAACATTACCTGGGTTTAAAAATCAAGTCCATGGTCCAAATGACCCAAAATGCCCCTGATCCAGCTTTAGTCAGAAATATGAATTGTTCTCAGTTAAGACATCAGAATTAGAAATAAAATTACGTTATGTTTTAAAGAAATGGGTTGGAACCAAACAGTAAAACAAAACTTATTTGGAAACAAGAATTATTTCAGTCCAAATGTAAATGAAATTATGTCTTAAAGAAATTCATGTCATCAGCCAAAGTTTAAAACAAAACTACCCCATGATCAGCCAGTGTTCAGAGTATGTGCTGGAAATGACTCCGTTACTACCACACTAAATTTTAGTCCAGGAACTGCCAACTCTAGTAACAACCATTTTTGTGTTGTCCAAGGTTGATTAGTTGTGGTGGCCATCTTGACTCGGGATGAATCTTAAAGTTAATCAGTTGTACTGTACTGTAGTTGTACATCCAATGATTACTTTCTAAAAGTTTCATTAAATTCTGCCCAGTGGTTCACAAGATATTTTGCCATCAGACAAAATTAAACTGTAGCTGGGCAGGCCCGAAGGGCTGATATCAAATTTATAGGAGGATCCATTGCCCTCCTTGGCCCCCTACGTAGCACCCAGTTTGGGTATTTTGATACCCTCACAAAACACCAGTCTGTACACTTTGACCACTAATTGACCCATTTCCTGTAACTGTAAATTGTTATGTGTAACTTGATTATGTTTTGTAACTGTATGAACAAAGATGAATTTGTCTCAGTTAAAGGCCTCGTTATACTTGGGCAAGATGTAAGATGTCAGACCTTGATGACGTTTTTGTAGACATTATTTTATTGTCTTTTTCTAACAAACATTTCTTACTCAAAAGAGAACCGCAGGGGAGAAGTCCTCCCTCTGCAGTACACATGGCACAATCAGAATCTGTGTTTTAAACCCACACTCGAAACAGCCGATTAGCTCTTCATCTGCAGCAGTACAGTGACTAGGCTGCACAAAGCTGCAGGAGGAAGCTTCTTTTTCTTTTTTTTTTTTTTTGCAGGTCTGGGATGCACAAATGTGCATCAGGCACTAAATAATTTAAAATAATTTATTTTAAATAAAAATTTTCATTCTTCAATCAGCCAGTTGTGTGTCATGTCCAATCTTATTTTGAAATACCAGGATATAGTAAGTCCGCGGTAAACGAACCGCGAAGTAGCGAGGGACTTCTGTACAGTAATTCACTTTATCAGTTTTCCCCAACGCAGCAATAACCCCCCACCACCCACCACCAAAAATGGCAGTAATGCGTCTTTTAAAAAAAAATCTTTATTGAAAAAGTACAAAACAATACAATAAAATGCAGTATACAGTAATGACATAACAGCCACCAGGGGGTCCCAAACACAGACAATAATTTACAAACCCGATTCCAAAAAAGTTGGGACACTAAACAAATTGTGAATAAAAACTGAATGCAATGATATGGAGATGGCAAATGTCAATATTTTATTCGTAATATAACATAGATGACAGATCAAAAGTTTAATCTGAGTAAATGTAACATTTTAAAGGAAAAATATGTTGATTCAAAATTTCACAGTGTCAACAAATCCCAAAAAAGTTGGGACAAGTAGCAATAAGTGGCTGGAAAAAGGAAATTGACCAAATAACGAACAGCTGGAAGACCAATTAACACTAATTAGGTCAATTGACAACATGATGGGTATAAAAAGAGCTTCTCAGAGTGTCAGTGTCTCTCAGAAGCCAAGATGGTAAGAGGATCACCAATTCCACCATTGTTGCACAGAAAGATAGTGCAGCAATACCAGAATGGTGTTACCCAGCGTAAAATAGCTAAGACTTTTAAGTTATCATCATCAACCGTGCATAACATCATCAAAAGATTCAGAGAATCTGGAACAATCGCTGTGCGTAAGGGTCAAGGCCGTAAAACTCTACTGGATGCTCGTGATCTCCGGGCCCTTAAACGTCACTGCACCTCAAACAGGATTGCCACTGTTAAGGAAATAACAGAATGGGCTCAGGAATACTTCCAGAAAGCATTGTCAGTGAATACAATCCACCGTGCCATCCGCCGTTGCCAGCTGAAACTCTACAGTGCAAAGAGGAAGCCATTTCTAAGCAAGCTCCACAAGCTCAGACGTTTGCACTGGGCCAGGGGCCATTTAAAATGGAGTGTGGCAAAATGGAAGACTGTTCTGTGGTCAGATGGGTCACGATTTGAAGTTCTTTATGGAACACTGGGACGCCATGTCATCCGGACCAGAGAGGACAAGGATAGCCCAAGTTGTTATCAACGCTCCGTTCAGAAGCCTGCATCACTGATGGTATGGGGTTGCATGAGCGCTTGTAGCATGGGCAGCTTGCATGTCTGGAAATGCAGAGAACTATGTTCAGGTTCTAGAACAACATACGCTCCCATCTAGACGTCATCTCTTTCAGGGAAGACCCTGCATTTTTCAACACGATAATGCCAGACCACATTCTGCAGCAATCACAACATCATGGCTACGTAGGAGAAGGATCCGGGTACTGAAATGGCCAGCCTGCAGTCCAGATCTTTCACCTATAGAGAACATTTGGCACATCATAAAGAGGAAGGTGCGACAAAGAAGGCCCAAGACGATTGAACAGTTAGAGGCCTGTATTAGACATGAATGGGAGAGCATTCCTATTTCTAAACTTGAGAAACTGGTCTCCTCTGTCCCCAGACGTCTGTTGAGTGTTGTAAGAAGAAGGGGGGATGCCACACAGTGGTAAAAATGGACTTGTCCCAACTTTTTTGGGATTTGTTGACGCCATGAAATTTGGAAACAACAGATTTTTCCCTTAAAATGATACATTCTCTCAGTTTAAACTTTTGATCTGTGATTTGTGTTCTATTCTGAATAAAATATTAGATGTTGGCACCTCCACATCATTGCATTCAGTTTTTATTCACAATTTGTTTAGTGTCCCAACTTTTTTGGAATCCAGTTTGTATCTGGTTGGTAAAGTCCAAATCCTTTTCCAGTTAAGGTTATTAATTAAGTTGTTCCAATAAGGTACCACATATGGAGTTGACAACATCTTTCTGAAATAGTGAACGGATACGACGGTTGCTGTTATGGGTTGAGGAGAAGCAGATTTGACCAATTTCAAGTTTGGTTGGATCAAAGGGTAATAATAGTGTTGGATTGATTCTGTCCTGCTGTACTTCTATGTAAAATAATTACTCCAGTAGGGATTGCTTTTATTACAATATTAAATTTGTTAATAAGGTTCATAATGTTATATTTTTAGACAAATTCTTGATATGACATTAATGATCCATCAGTGTTGAGCAACTGACGAACTAAAACTATGTTGTGAATAAACCAATTAGGGTAAAATAAGGATTTGTTTTTATGCAAGATGTCTCTATTGTTCCAAATATAATATCTGTGTGGAGAGAAATTATGTTTGTAAATCAATGACCAAGAGAGAAGCATCTGTTTATGAAAACTGGACAGTTTTGAGGGAACTTTTTCAGCATTATAATTGCAAAATAGAAAGAAATTTAGGCCTCCTAATTTAGAGAAAATAAAGTTTGGTATGAAGTTCCAAACTGAAGATGGGTTCTTGATAAATTGTTTTAGCCAATTTATTTTAAATGTGTTATTTAAGGTATAAAAGTCCAAAAAGTTGAAGCCACCCTTATTGTAAGAGTTCATAATTACAGATTTTTTTATTATATAGTGTTTTTTGTTCTTCCAAATGAAGTTAAACAGCATCTTGTCAATATCTTTAGAGACCTTTTTATTAACATCAAGAGACAGGGCAGCGTATGTAAGACGGGACAGTCCATCAGCTTTAATTAGCAGAATTCTTCCTCTCAATGATAAATCTCTTTGCTGCCATTGGTTCAGTTTTTTTGGGTCTTGTCAATAATGGGGTTAAAATTCAAACATCTGGATTCTCCATCTTTAGTGATAATGATTCCTAAGTAAGTAATGGATTCTTTTACAGGTATGCCGCAGATAGACAGACTATCACAGTCTTTAAGAGCAAGCAGTTCACATTTTTTTACATTCAGGCAAAGTCCAGATGCAGCAGAGAAAGTGTTTATTAAATCAATCGATAAAGGCATCTGAGAAAGGTTTTTTTTTAATTATGTGGTGTCATCAGCCAGTTGGCTGATGAAAATTTCGTTGTCCGCTACAGAGAAACCTTTTAGTGGGCTTAGTTTTATAGAATCAGTGAGCAACTGAGTGCAGAGCAGGAAAAGATAAGGTGATATGGGGCATCCTTGTCTGACCCCACGTTTAAGGAAGAATCGAGGAGAAGTCCCAGCATGCAATCTGACTGAGCAATTTCCATTTGTATACATTGTTTTGATAGCACTGCTAAAATATGAACCAAAACCAAACTTTTCTAGGGCGTGAAATATAAATTTATGTTTAATGGTATCAAAAGGGGCAGCACGGTGGCACAACTGGTAGAGCTGCTGCCTCTCAGCGAACAGGTCCCTGGTTCAAACCCCGGTCCAGGGGCCTTCTGGGTGGAGTTTGCATGTTCTCTCCGTGCATGCGTGGGTTTTCTCCGGGTACTCCGGTTTCCTCCCACAGACCAAAAACATGCATGTTAGGCTGATTGGTAACTCTAAATTGTCCCTAGATGTGAGTGAGAGAGTGAATGGTTGTTTGTCTCGTTTGTCTCCATGTGTCCCTGTGATGGACTTGCGACCCGTCCAGGGTGTACCCCGCCCCTCGCACAGTGATTGCTGGACATGGGCACCAGCGACTCCCGTGACCCAAAATGGAACAAACGGGTAAAGATAATGGATGGATGGATGGTATCAAAAGCCTTATAAAAGTCTAAAAAAAGAATAAAAAACTTTCATCAGCACATAAATCTGAGTAATCAATTAAATCAAGTACTAATCTGATGTTGGAAATATGTCTGTTCTTCATAAAGCCGGATTGAATCTCAATTATGTCGTCCAGAACAGTTTTTATTATTTTAGCAAATATCAGTGCAAATATTTAATTTATTTATTTAGTAAGCAGATTGGACGCCAGTTGTCAATAAAGAGTAAATCTTTTTTTGGTTCTGGAATTAGAGTTATGGGACCTTGGGTTAGAGTGGGAGGAAGGGATTCATTGTCTACACATTCTAAGAAAAGTCCATGGAGGAAGAGTGCAAGCTGTTTGGAAAATGCTTTATAGAATTCAGAAGTAAGACCGTCTGTGCCAGGGGATTTATTGGACTTAAGATGTTCAATAGCTGATACAATTTCCTGTAATGTTATTGGTTTATCACAAGATTCCTTCAAGTCAGTGTCAATTTTTTTAGTTTCTGTAAGAGATCTCAGAAATCGACAGGTGGATCCTTCACTACAATTCGATTCATATAACTTAGTATAAAAATCTGAACAATATCTGGCCATTTTTCGAGGATCATCTGTGATGTCACCACTAATATTCAGTTTTTGTATAGTGTTAGTTTTAGCGTGGAATTTTTCAAGTTGAAAAAAGTAAGCGGTATTCTGCTCCTCTTCCTCCAACCATCTACTTCTACTTCTCACAAAGGCCCCTTCAGCCTTCAGTCTGTAAATATCATCCAACTTATTTTGCAAACTAATTATGTGGTTATGTTCATTTTCACTTAGGTTTTCTGGCATTTTTTGGGTTATTGATGCCATTTCTAAGATTAGATTTTTTTCTTCAGCTTTTTTTGGCCTTAGTGAGTGAACTTGCATATGCTCTCAAAAATCTTGATAATTCAAATGTTAAAAGTTCCCAATTATTACAAAATTTTCCTTCTACTAGAGATTTAAACCAGAAGTGTTGAATTAATGACTGGACCATTTGAGACACCACCTCGTGTTTTAGGATAGAGCTGTTCAGTTTCCAATATGAACCTCTAGGGCAAGTGTTGGGATTTAAAGAGATTTGTATTAATATTGCTTTGTGATCAGTTAGAGGAGTGGTGAGGACATTGACATTAATAACATTGCTATCAAAACATTTGGAAATCAACCAGAAATCTATACGTGATAAACTAGTACAAGCTTTGTTGCTCCAAGTATATGAACTTACATCAGGATTTTCCCCCCTCCAAATATCATTTAAATTAAACTTGTGCATAAATTGTATCAAATTAGAGGCCTTAAAGTAATTGATTCATGGAGGCCACTTCTCTTCATGACTATACAAAGCAATATTAAATATACAAAGCAATATTAAATATACAAAGCAATATTAAAGCCCCCCCACCCCCCCATCACTATCATTGTGAGAGACGAGACTAAAACATTAAATAACATGTCATTATCACACGTTGAGTTATACACATACAAATTAACCAGCAAGTTCACAGTATTGGGCAGCACTGTGGCACAACTGGTAGAGCTGCTGCCTCTCAGCGAGCAGGTTGCTGGTTCAAATCCCATTCCGGGGGCCTTTCTGGGTGGAGTTTGCATGCTCTCTCCGTGCATGTCTAAATTGTCTCTAGGTCTGAGTGAGAGAGTGAATGGTTGTTTTGTCTCTCTTTATGTGTCCCTGTGATGGACTGGAGACCTGTCCAGGGTGTACCCGCCCCTCGCACAGTGATTGATGGACATGGGCACCAGTGACCCCCGTGACCCAAAATAGAAGAAGCGGGTAAAAGATAATGGATGGATTACAGAATCGCTGATATTAATAATCAAAATACAAACATGTCCTTTAGGATCACCCTCAGAATTCAAAATGGCCCCTTTAAAGGAGTTCTTTAGAATAACCAGCTGCTCTTTCTGATCCATGTGAATACCAAATATCATTGCCCCATTGAGCTTTCCGTTATTCTTCACTCACAGAGTGCGTCTCTTGGAAAAAAGAAAATTCAGTTTTTTGCTGCTTTGCAAATAAAAATAAAGTTTTACGTTTGATATTCTGTCTCAACCCCCCGGCGATAAGAGAAAGGCGGTCCCGCATGACACAACAAATCAAGCTTCAGCCTGTGTGGAGCGCTGGTACCGGTAGGG